AAAAAAAAAAAAAAAAAAAAACCCCCAGCTCAGCCAATCCTTTGAATCTTGAATATCAGACCAGATTAAGGAGAAATGATTGAAATTGATAGCAGAAGCATTGAAAATGTGGATGCCTAAAAACCTTACACTGTTTATGGAAGGTATCAGATTGAAGAATACCATTTTGTAGGAGAAAATCTGGTCTGTGCAAAACAAATTATCAGTCAAAAGGTTTATAATTTCTAGAATATTACTGACCCTTATTGTGATTTAAAGGCTTTGAGCCCAAAAGAAGAATCTTACTACTTCTAGGCAAAAGATGTGAGAATGAGTTGTTACTTACTGCTGATGTATAGTATCAAACACATTGGCTGTCTGAATGTACTGTATTTCTTCTTGAAGAGGAGACCAAAAACTAGAGCACAAATATCTCCAGATGTGTTGTATTTCATTTTTACTAGTGACTAAATGCCCTGAACTGGTAATCACACATCATAGTTCCCCATGCAATATAAAAGCATCATTGAATAGGTGTAAGTAATGTTTGACCACTTCCTATGGAACATTCTCAGTGGAATGCTTCTTGTCAAGCTACCAAAGCATAGTTTCACTGGCTGTTCATGAAAACAAAATCAGAGTAAATAGGGTGTCTCCTTTCCAACTGTAGTGTTTTGAAGGGAGCTGTTCCTAAAGGCAGATATAGTGGTACCATAACCAGGATACTAACTGAAAAAAAAAAATATGTAAGCTGATGAGACAGGTGGTTTAGAATACATTAAAGAAAAGACCTGAAACCAAGTGCTTTGGAGGAACTTTTAAATTAACTAAAGAAATATCTATTAGGATCTATTAAGTGCAATAAAGGTATGATTTTGACATCTTGACCAACCAACCTACTTTCAAGATTTAGAATCAGTTTCCCTGGATGTCAAACAGAGCCCAATTTTCTGAACATAGTATAAACCACTCAACTACGTAATGATGAAAGTTAAAGCCCAACCAATGAAGCCAGGTGATGTGACACTATCTCCACAATGTGGTTGGTTGGTTGAAGGAAAGTGGGAAGATGAATCACCTAAAACAGATCAAGCATTGAACAATGCTGTCTGAAGAAAACTGGTTCTATATTCCAAATGTGCAGGAACTGAAAAAAAAAGGAGTCTGAATGAAAGCATTAGGTAGGGAAATTGTCTTCATACTGACATGTATGCCCCAGGAATACCACAAAAAACACCATATTAAGGGTACCGTTACTGGCAACAATATCAAAGAAATATAGCTCCACCACACTTACAGTCTAAAGCCATATAGAGAGATACCAGGCTGCCAGTAAAGAGTTTATGATAATAGGAGGTTTCAGAACATGAAGAGTTACAATAGGAATGAGGTAGAGACATAGAATCAAGATCTAGATCTTGGTATCATGACAAACAACTGTAGTAACAATAAATTAAACATACAGCAAGGTTCATACAGCTGTTAAAAAAAATGAGAATTCAAGGGCTTTCCAGATTTTTCAGGATCTATACTCAAATTGCTGGGGATCTTGATTCTTGCCATGCAAAATTAAACTCACATTTTCCTTCATTAAAATGCCCACCAGTGAAAATTGCCACAGTCTCAAATCTCACGAGGCATAAGATTCACATTGGCTGAAACAAAATATAAGAAAACATGATTTTGACAACTAAGCTTTTTTTTTTTACTGAAACTGAAATTTCAAGATATTCCAGGAACACACTTGAAAACAGCCAGTACTGAAATTTTAAAAGTAATTTACCATGGCTTTCCAGGATTAAGAGAGATACATGTGAACACTTTTATAGTGTTTGAATGTAGTGTTTTCAGAGAAAGTTGCATTTTTTTTTAAACTTAAAACACAATTAAATCATTAGTTTTACTCATTTTTCTTAAAGCTGATTAAAGTTCACTGTGAATCCCAGCTATACATATGCTACAATGACAACTTGATGGTTCTACATGATGCATCATTTAACTTTTACTTAACAAAAGCCTTTTGATGCATAATCCTTTTCATCCAGGATACTTTTGTAGATTAGTCTTGCTTCTCAAGTTTCACTCTGAACTAGGCAGTTGCTGCCCATTTCAACTTTGTTTGCCATGAAAACTTTGCATGAATCATCTATAAAATAATACAATGCAATGTAAATTTGTGAGCTAGCCAATAGAATTGGACAAACTTGCATAGGAAGGTTTTTTAATTGTGCATTCAGTGCTATTTTAAAGCTAATAAACCAGAAATAAACAACCATAGGCCATGCTGCTAAATTTAAGACAATTCTGCAAAAGTGAAGCTCGTGTTCATATATAAAAATTGTTTGTCAATTTATTTCTCGCTATAAAAACTTGATACAACTATTTAATATTCAAGATTGTGTTACAAATTCTAGTAAAACACCTAAGATGTATTCTTTGTTTAGATGCACGTGGTTGAACTGGTAAATGATATTCAATGTGTTTTGTAAACCAATATATTTTGTCACAATAACTTACAGTGCAAAATAAAGGTTTCCATTTTCTAAGCATCACATTTTGCTACAAGGGCTTGTAAGCTATACACACACACACACACACATATATATATATATATACACACACACACACACACACACACACATAAGGGTATGAGAAAATTTTCAACGCATTTCTAGTTTATTACAGCAGCTATTTGTTTGCTCTCTCTGATAATATCAATGGCTATTGGGAACCACAGAAATTATGAAAATTAAAATTCATAGCCATCACTAGTAGGATTTTACACAGGGCTCCTTCTAACTCCTTTGTAAATGTACAACTACAACAAATTAAGTAACAGAAGTTCTATTGAAGTATAAATATACTTGTATGCAGAGTACAAACTATTATATCTATTACACGTGGATCATTACTAACAACATGCAATATAAGTCACACTTGCTTTACATTTTGCAGAACTGTGTTTATATATTTTAGCTGTTGGAGAACAGTAAATAGTCAGTTATCATTAAGACTTTGAAAGAGTCTACTCAAACATGTGACAGTATATTCTACCAGGAAAATTGACAACTTGGATCCCCAAGTATTTCATGCATAGATTTCTAATTTCACATCATAATGGTACATTCATGAAAATAAATTTTGGTTCACATGCATCCAAAAAGTAACAAAATTAATTTTAGTGTCATAATGCAGCTACTGACTTTAGGGTAAACAAACACATTTTGATTTGGAAGTGGGTGTTAGATATATTAACATACTAAATATTACAAACCAGCTTGATACATGTAAACAGTAGTTAAGTGATGGATTCACATGGTTTCCTTTCTTTTCTGAAACCTCAGTCACACCACTGTCAACGAAAAGAGAGATATACTGGATTGATTTGCATATTTGTGTGTAAGCTGTCAAGCAGGTGACCTGTTAATTGGTCAAGTCTGATTAATCTGGCCTTCACATCACAAAGTCTACATTCAAAAGAAACATAACTTTAATCTCATTATCGAGCAGCTTGTTTGTAAAGAGGCCGATTATTGATCACAAAGTGTTACTTCTAGCATCTTTCAAGACTAATGGTAATTAGCAAACAGACTGACTGAGAGACTGCAGGATACCTACTTGGACTTGTAAATTAGTATATAATCATCACATATACTTGTTTTAAAGAGTTAAAAGTTTCACCCTCAGGATTTAACATCCAAAGGTTTTTAACATTCAGTTCTGAAATCCTGTGGAGAACCCTGCTCTATACAAGAATATATGCAGTACAAGCATCAAACAGAAGAATCCAGGGAAAGCATCAATACTGAAATTTAAACCCTCATTTTGTTTCAACATTTGCTAATGCTACGTTCATAAAAGCATACCCTGTATAGTCCCAGCTATTAATGTTTACCATGTTGGTCTATGTTACAAGTGATGAATTCCTAACCTTTTATAACACTTTTGTTCTTTTTAAAGCAAATATGTCTATATCTCCTTCCAAAAAGTTGAAAGTATAATACGTACATCTAAAAGAGTGAAAAGCTACTGAGACTATCTGTGTAATTTTTTACAATGGAACTACAGAAACAGTTTCAATTGAACAGTAGTGATACTACTTCTTGTTTCCATGTCAAGTGGTTTAATCTTAAAAAATAAAAATGTTTAGTTTGTAAGAGAAAGCAACTCTTGTAAAAAATTACTTTTCCTTTGCATCTAAAACTGTTCAGAATTTTTTAATTAATCATTTAATCTACCTTTACAGCAAAGATATATAGATCTATATTGTACTTCAAAATAGCTTCACTTTCAATTATGCATGTTGAAATTAGCTAGAATGTTATAAACGAATATCATACTTAAATGAGTGAAATTCTGAGCAGTAGTTTTCTAATATTTCAGCATATGTTCTATATTTAAAATAACTAAAATCAGCACACACTAATAAATGCACACATTAAGATACAAAAATGTTAAGTACTGTGAACAATTTAGGCTAAGTTTCTTTTTGTACACACGTTTCAAAAGAAACTTCTCCATGCTTGCAGTAACCATACAACTAAAATAATATTCCATTTAAATATTTAAGTGTTATTTTGTTAAAAAAAAACAAGCAAAGAACTACAAGAGACCATGTATGAATTGCCAGAGATGCATGTAGGACTCAGCTGTACATCGTTTACGATTAATTTTACATAAACAGTCCAACAAGCATCATACGTGTTATATTTCTGAATACTTTTCTGTCAGTCTTTTTATCCAGAATGAACATGTAAATAAATTCAGCTGTTAAGACTTAAATGAATGACAACTTGCCTTAAAAAGACAATCCTTGGCTTAACACTCGCATGCGTACATAGAATCTAGTCGAAGTTCAATGATCCTTGCATAAACACATCATTTTTTTTTTTAAAAAAAGAAAAAAACTATTATGAAAAAATAAGCTTTCCAGAAATTTTCTACCACAAAGACCTACAACTTGGGAAACGGCTTCACTAGGTACAGTTTTTCACCTTGTGGACTGGTGTAGATTGGCACTCGTTTGTAGTGTTCAACAAGCTCATCTAGGCCATTAAACCTACGCTGACCAATACAGTAGATACCGTTTTCTACATGGACTCGGAAATGTTTATTTCTGATGGGAGACTTAACAGATACAGAAAAATCTCCAACCTAACAAAAAAACAAAGATTAGAAATAAAACGTTCTTATACTTGCTATATATAAAACTGTTTAGTTTTGTTAAAAAGAGAAAAATACAAAAATTAAACATTATGAACAAAATTACAATTAATTATGGTAAGTTTTGAATGTGATACTCTTCAAATATATGCAAGCAAATACTTGAAACTCAAATGCATATATTTTTAATTAAATAGGAGCCAGCATCAAAAAAGAAGGATAACACAAGATATACTAGTTATTAACATTCTAATATTCAAGAAAATCTAATGGCTACAATACTCTTAAAAGACACTACAAACTGGACTATTTCACAATGCTCATCGAGTCCTCTTAAAATCAAATCATTTTTATTTCTCATAGAAATATGACATAAATGATTAACAATTATTCAAATTCCTATTCATACTTAAATATTCTCATTGTTTCATAACATTATGTACCAAGTACTTTATCTGCTGAATTATTTTTAAATACTAAAATCCTTACATGTGACCTTTCATCTATAATAGCTAGTATTACACTGAGAAAAGGTAAGAATAGAAAAATAGTAGGAGCACAGTATATCAATAGGCTATCAGTCAGGCAAAGATATAAGGAAAAAATTACAATATTGGCCATAGTCCTTGAGAAATCTGATAATGCACACCAATATATTTTGTGTGTTGTCACACGTAAATAGTTGAAACAAGAATATATTTGCTATGACGTGCAACATGTGATTGCTATCTGCTATAAATATGTCTCAACAGAGCAGTTTGGGATTTTTTTAAAGTGTCTGAAAACGACAACCAGACAGCTTATTGAAAACTATGTGCTGCAAAAATTTCATGTGGAAGCAACACTGATAAAGGTTTCAAGAAGCTGCCTGCTATGCAAACGTTGTTGACATACCTGGAACAAATGGACACAGAAAAAACAACAATTGAACAACCTGGCACAAAAAAATCAAAGCAAGCAGATGACAGCATTCTACATAACCCAACAACATCCTGTGTTTGATGTTTGACAAAATATTGAAGGAAACTGTTGATGGGGTATAAACAAATGGAATAAACAGCAGTGCTGCCTTTCAAAATCACAAGAATCACTTAAAAATTGCAATACTGTTTCCTACTTTGGCTGAAGCTGCACAAAAGTTTCTTTCTGCTCTTGAAGCAATACTGACAGCAAACAGTTGTTCAGTGTTCTCATATGATGTGGATGAGAAGAGTAACAGGCTGATGTGTGATAAAACAGAAATGTTACTTTTTATGAAGAATTTTCCACTGATGGACTTGCTATGCCTTGCTAAATAAAAGTTGGAAGCAATGAGTATAATTCCGATTTTTTTTTTACCTGAATAAATAAATTACTTAAACTTATAACCTCCACCACCAAAGGTGACAGAGGTCATTTTTTTCCCTGTGTGTATGTTTGTTAGCAAGATTTCTCGAAAACAGATGAATGGATTTGGACAAAAGTGGGTATACATTTGGACTGTGACCCAACTTAGAAGTAATTATTTGGAGGGTCAAGATCACGCAAGGTCATGAAAATCCAAAAAATCCCTCTGTTAACATGACTGATTTTTCACACTTTTTTGCTCTATAACACAGTCAAAAATTATCAGATTTTGACGAAACCAGGTGGACATATGTAGAATATTATTCTTCATTTTCCTGCCAAAATGGTCCACATCCATTGATAATGACAAACGTATGGAAAAAGTTTTGTATTTTTTGAGAGCCAAATATGATCAATGGTGCATGGCAGAGGTATGAACTCTAACGAGTGCCTCTCTAGTTACTGTTAGTTTTTATTTCTAATACTACTACAAAACGTAATGCATCAGTTTCTTTTTATATTCTTTTCTGTCTTGATCTGTATTGTTTGCAAGCTTATTCACACAGCACTTTGCAGCCAAAAGCTGTTTTTTATTCCCTGAAATGGCAAAGTTGTTAAGCTGAATTTTGTAAAATAAATTGAACAGTTTTAATCTGCTTTTGTCTTGGTGAAGTTAATACTAATGTTTACAGGTATAAAGTTTCTGCTATAAACAAATGAAAGTTATAGTTCAAACCTTAATATTTGTTTATATTTTGCTGTTTCTAGAAACACTAATGCAAAATATTTTTTGAATTTTTTTTTTTTATGACTGGTATTCTATTTATTCATTTTCTGAGCTAAGTTGATCAAGTTAAATACTATTTGAGAATTTTTATTATAAATGCAAACAAAAAAAATCACCAACAGATTAAATTTTAATTTATATCAGTAGTTTGAAATACCTTACCTACACTACTACTAAATATCAATATTGGCTAATATAGTTGGGTACTCAGTATGAAGCAGGAAAATCTTAATCAGTGCACCCCAAAAATTAGATTAGCTCACTGTTTTCACTTCAGAGAAGCAAACAGGCAAACAATACAGTTGTGCCTATATGAACTTATATGGCAAACTGAAAATATCATGCAACAACCATCTGTTCCAAGAAATGTATCTTGCCATAGATTTGAAGACTGTCAGAAAAAATAGATCCATTACGGGCAAATATATGTACATGTAGTTTTCCTGTGGTTTCCAGTGAGAACATCAGCATTTAATCATATGTGCACAGATGGGGTCAAAGTGCATATTTCACTCTTCATTTTACCCCACATTGCCAATTTAATGACAGTTCATGACAGAGGAGAGTAAATACCAGTACAGTATATAGGGATACTAAAAAAACTATAAATATGAATGTTGGAGGTTCTACAGGTTACGCAAATGCAATATACAAACTGTACAATGGACAAAAGTATCTTACTTTTTAACTTTGCATCCTGACTTTTCAGAGTCAGACTCATGCTGTCAATTCAAGGACATATCTTGAGTAAAATTCTTTGCAACACATTCAATTCTTTGAGTAAAATAGACTTGTATATTTCACTAAAAGTTGCCATTGTTTGTGTAGATACACATAGTTAATTCAAAATTACAGTCAACATTTCTTCTACATTACAGGGTTGGTCTAATGGACAGATCCATGCACATTTGGTCAGATTAATTGGTTGGAAAAATTGTATACACTTTTTCAGCCATAATCTACCATGTGGGAAGAACCTAACAACATGATGAGGCAAACTTTGCACAATCATAATCATAACAAATTAAGAAACAATCTGTTGAATAAATCATTTCCAAATATATTGGAGCATATAGTTATGCACACCACATCACACTTCAAATTATAAAATGTCCAGTTGGCCCTAAATCAATAGTACAATAATGCCCATTGATATATTTTCTCTTCTTATGATTACAGATGTTGAGTACATTATATTAAAATGATTTTAAGAGCCTCTCACCACATCATTACAGTTCATGTCACCACATCAAGTCATGCTCTGACAACCAAGCATTTTGACCATAGCCCTCAGTGTAATTTCCTTTGCAAAAGACTATTGTAAGGCAGTCATATCCATGGCATAATACCATTCCATACAAGCTTTCCATAATCCAAGTAGTGTACATGGATAACAGTTTCTCAGTGCCTGTTTCAACAGTTAAAACAGAATTCCATAGGTACTGCATCTGGGAACTTGACCAGTATGCTTTTGTATGAAGTAGTATAAATACCTATTTCATCCTCCAGCTGCTTGAAGTTTGTGATGGTTCAACTGGAGGTATGACTGGAGGCATTATCTTGGTAAACTCCTATCTTATTGTGTATTATTGCCTGAGGAATGTGAATGGCTTTTGCCACTGTTCTGTATGTTCATAAATTCTCACTTGTTAAAAGATACTGCTTTTTGCTTAAATGGCTGGAATAAGACTTGTTGCAGGTTCCATTTTGGATCGTCATGGTGCCCCGAGTTGATTTATATTCCTTTGTTTTCTAATAGCAGTAAGTTCAAGGGATAGCCCTATCTTGAAAATTCTACATTCCTGATCTGAACACATCTTTATGATCTTGTGTATGAATATTTTGCTTCAGAAATAATTTAATATACTGTACTCAACCCTCAATATAATCTAAAAATGTAATTTTAGAAAAGTAAGGATTAGTACTGAGTATATGGAAATATATATATATTACACACATTTACAAAACATAGCAAGTACAAAAATGTATGACAGTGGGGTACATTGGAGGATCTGAAATATTTTAAAAACATACAAGAAGAATCAAATTAAACATGGTCCAATGAGCATATTGGAACAGGCCAGTTTGTATTATCTGTTAACAGAGGTACAGACAAGAGTCATTGTCATTCAAGAGATGCTATTATACATGAATTTAAAGCTTTAAACTACCAATGTGATAGAGTTTTTATCAATCTTTAAAATTTGTTTGAAAAAAATCACTGCATTTTACTGTTTTTGAACAAGAAAAGAGAAACAACAATATATTACTAACATTTGTTTCACTATCACGAATGAGAAAATCTCCATCCTGGGCAGTGTTATTGAGCATCTGGTCACAGTGGTTACGTGAGATGCTACCAAAGTACCATGGTCTGCCAAGTAGGTCTTGTCTCATTACAGGAGTTGGCAAAGGCCCTCGATTTTTGGCTTGCACCATAGGTGAGGCTTCCCAGGCCATTACACCCTTATTTGTCATCTCTGTTTGTAACTGAGTGACATCTGCAGAAGCACCTTCTATGGCCCCACACCTCCAGCCCAAAGATGAAGCAGAGCCTATTGAGTCCAAAGTTCCCTCTCCTATTGGTGGCGGCAAGATCACTTGAACATATGTTTTAGGCACCAGTCCAATCTCACCATTTTGATTCCGAGCTTTCCACCAGCCAGGATCATTAACAGGTTTTTCAATCACTTCAAGGTTCTCATCTTTTTGAAAGGATAGTTCTTCTTTATTTTGGGCGGTGTAAGAATACAAGGCTGTCACAATGTCTAAACACTCACCTTCTTTTAAAACACTGGCACCATTTCCAAAGGAGACTTGAGGACACTTATTAACACCGTTTTTATCATCACCTTCTTCAAAAATGTAATTCGAAGGAAACCATCCAATGGCTCCGTTAAACTCGCCTTTCCACCATCCATCACTAGACTTTTCTAGAACTAAGATACGAGTTCCTTTCACCAAAGAAATTTCATCTGACTGTCGGGCAGTATAGTTATATTTTGCTACAGCTATTATATGAGTGGTGACTTTAGTCCTTGATGGGAGATCATGAGCAGAACTTATACTGGAGTCATCACTGGCAGCAACTGGAGAGTCAGTTGGAGATGTTTTTGACTCACTTCTTCGTCTAACCTTTTTTCGGATACTGTCAAATATGGAAGGTTTCTCTCTCTTCACATAGTTGGATGGGACAAAACCAAACTGATTCTTGGAATTACACACTTTCCACCAATGTTTACTGTCGTCCAGAAGGAGCAGCCGCTCACCTTTCTTTATGTCCAGCTCCTGACTACCTTGAGCAGTGTAATCATACTTAGCTATGACATACACTTCTTCAATGCTTTTTCCTGAAAACATTATAAAACAATTATTCTGAAGTACAAGAACTGTTTTAATAACTTTGTTATTAAAATCACACATTTACATTACACAACATTTTTTCTGAGCATCTCAAAACTGCAAAAAAAAACAACTTTTAAAGCCAAGTTTATGTTACTTTATATTGTAAGTCTACTGGTTCTTCACAGTAGAAGGGGATAAGTTACAAACACATTATAGAAATAACCAACCAATGTCTTGATACACATTTCACTTTTTCTGACCTGTACTATGGTATGGGTATGCTCTATCAGATTATACTGCAATCAAGATCAAAGTTCCAAATTTATGATGTGTGGACTATTATTCGGGTGCACAAAAATGGTACAAATAACAGGCTATACAGTCCCAAAAATTAAATGGACCAGATGTTTAAAAGAGGGTTAAATTACAATTTGTTTTGTAATTTACATAAAATATAAAAATAAATCTTAACCCTCTCACTACAAACAGGTCAAAAGGTGCATGTCATGGCATTTTAGAGTTATTTTCAAAATTTAATTAAACAACTTTATTATCAACAAATGTCAATAAAGTTGGCATCAAAATTTAGTTTATAATTCAAATTTTAATATATGTTTTAACTACTTAAATACAAAAAAAATACTAAAAACAAAATGCTAAATTTTTTTTTTTGGTGTCACATTACATGTTCTCTTCTCTTATGCCTACCATACAACATCTATAGTGGTTAACGATTAAGAAACTCAAATTTCAGACATTATCAAGCTAAAATATAAAATAAGAGCCTCCCACTTTTTTAATTTGCTGAGATATCAATATATTTAGCAAACCTACCAGAGTAGCCCCTCCTGCTACTACAATCGTTTTAAACCTCTTGTCTACTCACACCTACTTCTCTTAAGTATTTCAATAATCAATAGAGAAAGCACATACCAAGCTTCCTAAATCTGACAGCCATTTGTAATTGGCTTGAAGAGGAAAGCCGGAATTTTAATGGAAATTTTTAGGTCTATTTACTAAGTTGTTGCTCTGAACAGAAATGAGATTATTTTAACTCACATATAGCTTAGTTAGAAAGCCATATACATTACAGCAGTTTTTATGTACCATTATATTCATTTCATAATTTTTCTTGGTTTTCTAAGGTGCATGTTCGAAATCCACAAAAATCAATGTTTTTCCCCTCCACTTGAAAGAATAAAAAAGGTTTACAGTGAGGCTTAACAAGTATGACGCATTAGTAAAAATTAATTTTATTGCATTGTTCTATGTTTTAAGAAAAATAATTAAAAATTAAGCATTTGTGAGTAAACACTAATAAGATATACATACACGTTCATAAAAACTTACACACTTTGTACACACATACAGCAAAATTCTGACAACCCTGGGAAGATAACTAACATCCAAATACCTACCAAGTTTTCTGGATTGGCCCAAACTTTGTTCAAAGCAATATCATAAAAATTTTCTCACACTTTTATTACTTCAGACAATTCTCCTTGCAACCAAAGTACTGTAAACAGCCAATAAATCCTCTCCCACTGTGTTCTTGGAGCTATGATTATGATAAATTCTGTGGGAATCATTGGCTTATTGTACTGCACATGCTTGTTTCCTATTGACAGTGTTGTTTTACAGCATCACATAAACAGTCTAATGGCAGGAGCAGTTATTCATTGCTTTATGTTTGGCAGGTTTCTACTTCACCTGCTAACAGTAAAATAAACTCAGGAAATAGATGTGAAAAGTTTTGGAGTAAAAACTGTCACAAATACTTTGGAACTTTGTGGTCAATACTAAAAAGGCCAGAACAGTACTACTCATTGTACTTCACTTTTTTTTATGGTGGTTATGAGTTCAGTTAAATTGATTGAATGCCTATAGAATTAGGGTAGAGAAAATAACAGATAAAATGTAAAGTTTTAGTGAAAAAAGAACATTTGATATTTATTTAAGAGAAGTATTTATAATCTGAAATAGAAAAAACATTTTGTACTCAAAGTAGTCAACACTCTGACTCCATATGTTCACAGACAAATTTTTTGTAAAAAGACTTAATTAAAAATTCTGACTTTAGTGTCTACAGAATAGTTGTAATGTTTACTAAAATTTCATGAAGATACACAAAACATGTTAAAAATTATAGTATTGAAACTCTGATGGTCACTTTTGGGTCTTGTGGTCGGTGTAATCCACTGAGGCAGTAGAGAAAAGGTTAATCAAACCTTTCGCTATTAATGCAAGATATAAAAGTTGTAACACTCCATAAAACCACTGACAAGTCAGTGAAAATTAGAAAAAATATAAACTTGCAAAGCACTTGTTAATATAATTCATCTTACATGAAAACATCTACTGTATGTTTGAGCACTGCAAAAGTTAAAACATTGCAGCTTAAAAAGAATAATGGAACCAACAGCCACTGCCCCACATTTACTGAAGAACTGGCTCTGTTCCCCTACAAAAAAAACAATATTCATGAGCATGACTGGCTGCTATTCCCCTCAAAGGTTGCCATTTTAGTAGCAATATCTCCAATATCAAACAAATGACAATTTTTCTTTTTAATATTGTACTCTATTTCAAAAAATTGACTGAATAAAAAGACCATTTGGTTTCTATAAATGTATCAGTTTTCCAAGTATTAAATATTGAGGCATTAAGAATTTGCTCATTTGAGAGTATATCCCTTTTTAAAAGTTACAAGCATTATTTAAAGTCCAACCACACTAGAATTATTGTTATATACATTAACAGGTATGCATAAAGAAAAAGTGAACTTAGTATAGTACCCCAAGGTCAACCTGTAGTTGGCCTTAATCCTATGTATATGGGTGGGAGAAGTGCACATGCCATGACCTTTTACAAAGTGTCATTCCACATGGTGTTATGTATTTGATGTCAGAGGTATCAATTATTTGTTTTACCCTACACATGCATTTCAGAGGTTCTTGTAGTTATGCAAATGTAATATGCAAACTGTACAATGAACAAAAGTATCTATATTCTTTACATAAGTACCATTTTGCACTCTGACTTTTCAGAGTGTGAGTCAGACTAATGTCATCAATTCAGACATATCTTAAGTACAAATATTTTTGTAACATATCTAATTTTCTATGTACAACAGACCTGTATATTTTACTAAAAGCTTGTCACATTTTGGGTGGATACATATAGTAAATTCAGAACTATAGTCAACATTCCTTCTCCAATGGACCAACCTATCAACAACTGATAGAGACTTGTACCATAAACCAAAGAAATTTTGCCCTTAAATCTCCCAATTCTTACTTAACAATTAAGGCTTTATAAAGTTATTGATACACTAAACTTTGATATTTCTTGTAATCTTTCACATTAAGAATTGATCTTCAGGTTTCTTTAAAAAAAATTGTGTATTTTTTAAAACAATTTAATACAATTATCTTCCACCACTCCAGCAATTTAGCTTTGGCAGTTTAACAAAGCCCCTAATGATTTAAAACACCTAAATAAGGTCATCTCTAGTTCTTTATTCTAAAGAAGAAAAGAGTTTAAATATTTGAGTCTTTCTTAAATGTTTCAAATAAGGAACCATTTTTTATGGCTTTCACACCATGACAATTGTTGTTGTAAAAAATTAGTTTTCTGGCTACTGCTACGCATTTTGTGTCTTAGCCAGCCTTAGGAGCTCTGGATCGAGCTTACACGTCATCAGCAATGAATATGGCGAACACAGTGCAGTTGGAATACTATTATTATTATATACAATCTTCTAATTCTTGTAAATACCAAAAGGACTAGATAAAGAATGAAGTGTTAGAAAATATAATAGGCCTAATACTAATGTCACGTAACAAGTATAACTAAAGGAACCATTATGACAGGCCATTTCTAAACTTTTTCAACTAAATTAAGGAGACTAAAACTAAACACAATATTCCAAATGAGTCTTTACCAAAGTATTGTAAAAAGTGATGATAAACTCTCCAAACTTAAGACATTTTCTGTACACAGAACCTAGAACCCTGTAAGCTCATTTCACCATTTCCACACAATCAGCTTAAGATTCAAAGCTTTTATTAATCATAACACCCAAATTTTTCTTACTCTCCAGAACATTAACATTATTTACACACACAAGCAAACATCTTTTTAAATTTCCATATTCTAAATATAAAATTTTACATATTTCATTGTTGAACTCATTTTCTAAAGTCTAGCCCATTCAGCAAGACCGTAGAAGTCCTTTGGCAATAATGATGCATTTTCCAAAGAATCAGCCTTACCCATCAGTTTAGTATCAATCATAGGCAAATTTAGAAATTTTACTGCTTATAAAATATATCCCAATCAGTGACATAAAAAATAAACAACAGAGGTCTCAAGGAAGATTCTTGAAGAACCCCACAAGTCACATTTTCCCAATTTGGAATGATGCAAATTTGCCCCAACTCTGTTTTCTATCTTCAAGCCAATTTTTATTCTATCTTTTGAGTTTTAATCTCAATTTAACCTATTAATCAACATATTATGAGGAACTTTATCAAAATCCCTCTGAAAGTCTAGATACAGGACATTAAGGTGCTTTCCAAGTGATCCTGTCAATTTACAAGTTAATTGCAATGGTTCCCATGCCATATGTAGCATTTATTTCATTGGCTATGCAAAGATGATGGGGCAGTGTGCACATGCATCATTTTCTATGTAATTCTATTTAATACGAGTGATCAGTTTGGGAATCAGCCATTAAGGCAGTAGAAATGGGAACAATTGTAAATGGCTATAGCATGCAAACAATGTGTCTGAACTACCTGTGCTAATTGTAAATGGCTATAGCATGCAAACAATGTGTCTGAACTCCCTGTGCTACATGAGGCATTAAACAATACTTTCATTTGGCACAAGCTTTACATCATAGGAATTAAAAAAGTTGACAAACTTCAACCATTCATATGACTGCTTATTCATCTAAACTAAAATTTTGGGCTGTCCACCCAAGTTCCTCTAATAAGTATAATTAAAATTAGTTAAGCTAATTCTTCACCACTTATGACAAGATGATACCAGACAACTTTTTATACACAAATGGGGCATAAAGGGGCCTTTTGCCTCACTAAGGATGTCCTGTTCTAATTCCAACCTCCCTCAGCAAACAGAAAAAAAGAAGAACATTCCCAGGATGTAATGCAAAATTACTAAGGAAATAGACAAAATTGATTTACAAGTTTCTTTTATGTTGAATTCTAAGAGCAGTAGGACAAGAATTCATAGTATAAAATATAAATTTAGAAAGGTCAGACACATCTCCAGTCAAGGTAATGTTATTTTTTCAACAGGGTTTACAAATTTACCATCTATAATAATAAAGGCTGCAAATTTATAGATCTTTAAAAAAAAATTAGGAAACTGAATAAACATGCAAGTAAACTGTAAGAATGGGAACAACATATTTCTGTGTATCAGTGATTGATTATCATGATATAGCCATCAGAACTGATAAAGAAACCTGGCACTCATCCAGGTTTCCTTATTATTTCTCCTGGTGGATGGGTCTTTCTAAGTGGGCATAAGGCATCCTAGATTCCAATAAATTTAATCCATATATTGCACATGTAGATGAATATAATTACCAATACAGGTTAAATATTTTAACAATTAAACTCCTCAGTTTTCTGATTCACATAACATGATGCAATGTTTGGTTTTAAATAGAATTCAACTACAATTAAACAATCTGGATATCCCTCATACACTATAAATATGTTAGTGAAATTATGGGTCATAATCATGGTAGTTAAACTTGAAAAAAGTATATAGTTGTTTTTAATTCTAAAAATATGTTATAATTTTATTGTAAAGACAAAATATAAAAGTTAAACATTTTTATAGTTAATAAACTTGCTTGAGCAAGACGTATTTATGGATACAATTTACGTTTAAAATGGATATTATGAATCAAAGTATCTTTGTATAAAAGGTGTTACTTAATTTTTAATCCGATATCATACATTGAAGTGTTAAAAATTCATAAAATAAGTAGATGTGCAATTTGACTAATTTCTTGAGTGCCAAATTGCATACTTAGCTCTGCCCTTGGTGAAAGCCCGATAGATCTGGTTAAAGACTACAAGTAAAATTAATTCTCAGTCCATATTGAGCTTTCTTTTTGAAGTTCTTGTAATGCATCTTGAATGTCTTACCTTAAAAGTTTTACAGATTATTTTAAGGAGACGGCACTCCTATATCTTTTTTCTCTTGAAAACACACACAAATTTGCTAAAAATAAGCCATATCTCTGCAAGGATTTTCAATAGTGTTCATTCTCCAAGAAAATTATTGTAAGACAGGAGAAGTAGATTGGAAGTGAGGAGATGTAGCAGTCAAGTTGAGAGAATTGGCAGAAACGACAAAGTAGTTGTGTCACTTCTTGTTCAAAGCAGCCTAGTTTACAGTAGAAATGTGGTCAAGATTTCTACTGTCTGAATTTGGTGCATTTAATGCATTGCATTTAACAATGGTCTTGAATTTTACTTCTATGAAAAACTTCTCTAATTCAGGTTTAAGCGCTTATTCTAACCTTAGTATAAACCACAAGTTAAATGGTATGAATCAAAAAAAGAGTGGGGACTTAATCAGCAGCAATATATTTATTCAACACATTGTAGCTGGATATTGTATTACTGTATACCTTGGTTATTATGGGAAACAACCTAAAATACTGAAAATTCTATTTACAAGTTTTAATTTATAGAATTTTGTTGTGGGACGAGTTTTGTTCAAACTCAACTATTTACAATAGCTATTGCAGTAATGATATAGGAGTTATTATGTAAACTATTTATCAATATATGGAAACGTTTAAGATGAATTTGGTTTTGATTTTGGACTACTTAGCATGCCAAGTTTTTTTAGATCAGTCCAGTCATTTAGGAAGATGTGCATCCACAACAGACAAAGTTTTCCTTGATATTAGATAGTTTGGCTGAATATGTATAGTGCATATGTAAAAAAATGCCTGTACCTCAATTTTTATATTCAGCTCTGCCAGGCAAAGCAAGGCAGAGCTGGATGAATACTATATGTTGCACAATGAACCAGAAATTGTAAGTCTGTTAAATTGAAAAGTACCAAGTCTATTATTATTATTCAAGATTTAAAAATTAAATTTCAACATCATATTGCAAAGTGATGGAATTTAGAAAAAAATCATTAGCATTTTGCCAGTAGCAACACATTCATGTTCTCACTCAGTCTCAGTAGTTAATGTGTAGAAACTGAAGTATTACAAAATAATGACAAACTAGACATTTGGATGGCTCATTCTTAATTTGGTGACTTCTGCTATACTTTACTTTTTACAATTTACTTTGTTTACATCCTGCCTAATTTTTTCTGTTTCTAATCATACTCACAGTAATATTAATACTAGAATTTTTGTGGATATTTTTTACACAACGATATGGGTGTAATTGTATGCGAAATTTTTGACTTGGTTATAGAAATTGCCATTATTAATATTTTCATGCTGACTGATTGAACTAAGTCACGGTGATGACAAGCTAAAAGGTAATTTAAATTAAATGACAATAACTTGAATAAACAACTTCAATTTTTCACAACGTGATACTATCATTGATAGTCTTAGTATTAGTAATATATTAACGCAGCTAACTTACCTTCTTTACACAGTTTCGAATTTGACATGACGTTTTTCAATAATCGTTTGAACTACAAACTAATCTCTCCCATCAAAATAATTAAAATACTATCTAATGTTTCAATAAGATCAGCTTAAACTTAAACAGTGCATGATTACAAATCACTCCTTCTCTTCAAATACCGTGATGTAACGATAACAGCGAGATCGCTACTCATCACTAGAATCGTTTCTGAAAATGTTTTATAACTAAATTTAATTCCACTAAATAAAATTCATTATGATTTGTGAGAAATTTGGCTCATGTAATATTTATAGCAATAGAAAATGAAAATTATTAAAATAGAATATAGTTTGTAAGTATAATGGGATAACCACGATATAAGAAATATAGATAAAATATATCAAAATAAAAGACAATATAAGTACTTAGAATATTAAATTTACATATTTCTGTTCGGTATATTCTACACATCAGTTATATTATTTTTAAGTATATTTTTAATTTGATTATCCCAAAACCAGTAATGTATCTCGGGGGTCCTTGTTTCCCGGCACCTCACTCCCCCGCTTTTTAACTTTTCTATTTAACAAAATAATATTCTCAAATCGTGGTCTCAAGATCACTATCACAATTCCATTAAAATGAAATCTAAGGATTAATCTTTCTTTGAAAAATTCAAACTGATGATTTTTCCTATCAATAAATTGCAACACAAAATATCTAATTGGACATCCACACTTAGCGCTTGAATGTTCCTAAGCCAGGTAGATTTGACCATAGATATTCTGGAAGCCTTTTCATTCCCCCACCCACTCTTTTCCCTTCTCAAGACTATGATAAGATATTTATTTATACATTAGTTGCGATTCCAATACACACCCATTGTCATCATTGTTTTATTATTATTATGCCAAAATAAAATAATTATATAGTTTATTTATAGTTTGTAAAACCGGAATATGAAAGGTATAAATAAAAAAGTAAATAAATTTAAGATTTTATTAATATCTAGGATACTACAGGTAAATTGCAAATACAAAATAGTGTTTAATTATGTTTATGCAATGTAATTTTCTATCCATTTTTACATCTGTATACGAAAATATTTTTATATCGAACTAAAATTTAAAATGTCGTAAAAAGAAACTTACAGGTACTTTATTAATTGTGAATACAAATTAGTGTATAATTATGTTTATGCAATGCCATTTTCTATATATTTTTATATCTGTATACGAAAATATTTTTTATATCGAAACTAAAAAACAAATTAAAATTTAAAATCTCGTAAAAAGAAACATATCTTTGAAGAAAAGGTTGAAATTTCTAAACATGACAATGATTAAAAATAATACATAAAAAAGATAAGCATTTTTAAACAACATTGCCATCTTTTACATTTTTCATCAAGAGATTCAAGTTATTCTGACAAAGAAATAAAAGAAATCAACATATTTGTATTGGATTTAATGAAGGGCAGGTTCTTTTTTGATGGTACTAAAGGTTTGCTCTTCTTAAATCTGTTAGTTTTCTGAACATTCGAATTGCGTAGAGATTCAAGACACCGTTCAACACTTAGATGGATAAAAACACTTTTCTTTATAAATAACTTTCAATAGAATTGGCTCGTTTATTGATTTATTTCTTTGGCGATTTGAAGTAGAAATCTACTGCACTTTGTTTAACATTCGAGACAGGCATAAAATTAGCATGTGCAAAGATCGTGTGTTAGGCAACGTGTAACTTTGTTTCCTTAAAATATACTCCAGCTGTGTAACAATGGTGTGATTACCTTCACACTTTTAAGTAATGTATTTTGTTTGTCTGCAATTAAGCATAAAGCTACACAATGGGCTATCTGTTTTCTGCCCACCACTGGTATCGAAACCCGAATTCTAGCGTTGTAAGTCCACAGAAATACCGCTGTGCCTGACTAATGTAAGCTTTAAACTTAGAGGGCAGTATCCTTGGTTAACTTTTTGACTCGTAATCTGAGGGTCGCAGGTTCGAATTCCCGTCCTACCAAACATGTTCGCCCTTTTAGCCGTGGGGACGTTAGAATGTGACGGTCAATCCCACTATTCGTTGGTAAAAGAATAGCCCAAGAGTTGATTGTGGGTGGTGATGACTTCCCTCTAGTCTTTCACTGCCAAATTAGGGACGAATAGCGCAGATAGCCCTCGTGTAGTTTTGCGCGAAATTCAAAACCAACCAAACCCTGCTTAACTATGAGTTACGTAGGGGTACTCTCTCCCTCAAGTTGGTGGGGGATCTGAGGGTGCATATTGATGTTTTTTATGCTCATTTAATCTATTAAAAATTAGCCATACCGGCGACATAAAGTATTGTAAAAATTAACATTTTGATCATTGATATTTTTTTCTTCTTAATTTTGTTTGGAGAAAAGAATCAGGTTAAGATTTTATGTCAAAGAAAATTCGATCTTGAATTTTCAATTTTATGCACACACACGCGTATACCTTGGTAGCCCCTGCCTTAAGAAGGTTTTTTTTTTAATTATGCACAAAGCTACACAAGGGCTATCTGTGCTCTGCCCACCACGGGTATCGAAACCCGGTTTCTAGCGTTGACATACCGCTGTGCCACTGGGAGGAGCCTTAAGAAGGAAAACTATCTTAGACGTTTCAGACAGATGTTTAGTTATTTATATTCACTGAAAACTCTAATCAGCTATCAAAATGCCTTGCATAAACAAATAATATGAGGCTACTCTCCTACCCTCACAAATGGATTTATCCTATTACTAACAAAACGATATTGTCATTGAAAGATCTCAACCTGACTGAAAGAAAAATGATATAAATACACTATAAACTAAAAGCTGGCAGAGGAAGCATCATATTTACATCATACTTTGTAACTCAAATATTAATGCTATCATATGAAACATTTATGTCATTAATATGTACATATATATATATATATTATTTTGTTAGTTTTCGTGATTAACGCGATTTCTACATTTACTTCACACATGTGTTGTTTTAAAACAATTCTTATAACAGTGTTCATTCTGTTGCTGTTATTATACGTTTCTGTGACACATTATGATATGTAGATAATCAATTACTTGGCCTTATTTGTACTGTTCATTTGCTGGTTTAACGAAGTGAGCTATCCAAAAAGTAACATAGAAACTACTGTGGTACAACGCAATCGAAATCATAAAGGGAACAAAATTATATTCCAATCAAATTATAAATGATAATTAGATATTTTTAATCTTTACAACGTCTCTGATAGTTGGCGATATTAATAAACAATATTTGGACTCGTAATACACAATCTTACTCTTGCGCATCTGGTGACAACTGATTTGTATGACCACGAATTTTAACAGCTTACTGTCAGATTATGTTTATTTGTAGTGACAAAATAATGAAACTTTGGAGTTATTTATAAATAATTTATAAGAAACAACAAAATATCTAGCAGACTCTCATATAAAATCCTTATTCGTTAACTTTTACAGAGAATATCGTACGTTGATATGTAACTCTGCAAATTTCGAATTGCTACGTTTTATAATAAATATATTATCATAAGATCACACTGTGCAGAAGATAAGTAAGGTTTGTAATAGTGAAAAAGGAATTAGAGCAAACTTAACTAAATCTTTGATAGGTTGTTTAGGCAGAGCATTCA